TCAAGAAATTTTGGCGATGTGGACCCGCGCCTTTTGTAATAGCTTAGAATCTTTTACTTCTCGCACTTTTAACTGTTAATAAATGCATGCAAGAATGGATAAAAATAAAAACAAGCGTAGATCACCAATAACATGACAAAAGACAAAAATAACTGAAAACGACACACAAATCACACACCACCCCTAGAGTACGCCTCACTGTTGCCTTGCCTCGAAAGGTGATCGTCGAGTAGAGGATGTCTTAGTAAGTCCTCATGATCCGGGAACCTGGCATGAGGGTAGCTTCTAAGGTGTCTTCCCATTGCTCTGGTGATCACCATGTCCCGAACCTCGAATTGACCCGAACACCTCCAACGGTGGTGCTACCTACCTCTCAATGGTGGGATGGCACTACTTTAAAGGACATTTACACAGACGAATTCCTTAGGGTAGGTAGACGACTCGTGGATACTTGCTCTAATTCAAAACAAAACAAATCAAAAATACTTTTCACACCAACACATTTTCAAAAAGCTTTCGAAAGCATTTTTCAAACACTCTTGAGGACCGATACAAGAGTCGAACTGAAATTTTCAAAGAAACTTTTTAAAACCCACAGTTGAAAAGCAAACAAACCATTTTTGAAAACACAAATGAGCAAGTATCTAAGAGCCCATGGATAACCATGGATAGAAAGGGTGCTAACGCCTTCCCTTTCTATAATCTACCTCCCGAACCGAGAGCAATCTCTTTAAGGAATTTTTCTGTGCTTTTGTCCTTTCCATTTGGAGAAAATAAAAGACGGTGGCGACTCTTGCTTCCGCGACATTTCGCGAACCAGCGTTAAACAGTCAGTTCCAGATCCACCGATCACACCTGGCATGTCTTCCTATGACCAGGCAAAGACCTCAACATAATCATGTAGCAACTGAGTTAGACGCTTCTTGACACTGGGTTCTAGATTGGCTCCTACCTTAACTTCTTTCTTGTCCTCTTAGGTACCTAGGTTAACTGTGTCCACTGGTTCTTCGTGGGGCTATATGGTCCTTTCTTCTTGTTGTAGTAACCTGGCTAGTTCCCCTGGAACTTCACAATCTTCCTCACCTTCATCTTCGACTTAGTATATTAGGTTTTCAGAGCCACAATAGGCCATAGCAGAATTGTTACCCATGGGATCCTGAGTGGATGTAGACCTGCATTTTGAATGTGAGTGTGTGTAAGGGTATAACTATCTTTGAAAAATAAAAATGTAGAAAAAGAAAGACAAAGAGCACAAAGTTTTCATGCAAAAACGTCCATGATTCATTGATGAAATATAAAAATGAGGTAACAACCCTTACAAATGGACCATTGTGCCTCGGGTAAGACACAAGGTTTAAAAGGTCTGAATTGTTTAAGTATTACAAGTCTGATAGAAATTTAAAGACAATTATTGTTGGATAAAAGTAATTGGGACAAAATCTTTAGCTTCCCAGTTGGTGAGTCCTCTGTTGATAGTCGGGAAAATCCGTTCTTCCAGGTCATAGTTGTCATTACTATCCTCCATTGCGTTGACTCCATGGTTGCTGATCCTCAAAGGTGGTCCCCTAACACGAGCGCGACGAACAAATTTCTGGGCTCCTGAAGTGAAACCCAAACCAAATTTATTAGATTTGTAAGGGATATCCGGTAGTTGGCCCCAAATAGTACACCCACCTTCTTCGATCACTGCCTTGGTATCTTTCAGAGAAGACATCTTTAGGGGAGGTCTTGTAATCTTCGGGACTTGGGAAACAATTTTGGTAGCTGCCACTAGGACTTCCTCGAAATGCTGAAATGGAGTTTCAATGAATTCACCATCAAATTCCACGTATCTGAAGCAGTTCAACTAACTGACCATATATTCCTCCTCTCCATGGACAATAATGATTTTTCCCTTGGTTGGGTATTTCAACATTTGATGTAATGTAGAGGTGACGGCACCAGCATTGTGAATCCATGGCCAGCCCAATAAACAGGAATAAGAAGGGTGAATGTCCATCATGTAGAAAGTTGAATCAAAGGTTTGAGTTCCAACTTTTATGGGGATGTCCACCTCCCCATGCACCATCCTTTTTGAACCATCGAAGGCCCTTACCACTATGTTGTTGGGTTTTAAAGTCAGACCTTCATAGCCTAGTCTATCTAAAGCCTTTTTAGGCAGCACATTCAAATACGAGCAAGTATCAACCAGGACATGAGCCAAAGTTGTGCCCCTGCATTCGACAGAGACATGCAACGCCTCGTTTTGTTTCCTCCCTCTAGCTGTCAAGTCAACATCAAAAAAGCCTAAACCATTTCCAGCTGTTAAACTGGCCACACAGTCTTGGAATTGATCAGTAGAGGTTTCTTGTGGCACATGGGCAGTTTTAAGAAATTTCAACAAGGCCTTCGCATGACGGTAGCATAGAAATATTTGATGGCATCTTCCCTAGCTTTTCGACTACGTTGTAGTCGCTTCTCTTTATAATTTTCAGAATTTCTTACATTTCTTTTTGGGAGGCCTCTGAGATAGATATTGATTGTGCCTTCATCCGGACAGGCTCAATCAGAATTCCTTTGCCCCGAGTCTCGATCGACTCGGTGGTAGGGGTGTTAGTAGGGGTATCCACATGTATTATAGTAGTATTGTCAACAGGAACAGAAACAGGGATGATCATCAGACAAGTAACAGTTTTCGGAAGAGCAATCTCGGGAGAAAATACTCTGCCACTTTGGGTTATCTTGCTGGTTCCCACAATGTTGTCGATGTCGGGGTCAGACTTCTTAAAAATCGAGTCTTCATCAGCCAGCCAATCTTGCTTGACATTGTGATAGTAGATGTCGCCCCCATAGTTCCATGGGACAGTTCTATCTGATGAGTATGGGACCGGCCCTGGCATAGTAATTATCAGTGGAGCCACTTTAGAAACTGATGTAATCCTAACGGGTCTCTTGGTGGAGACCCTGGAAGGATTGGCAGAAATGGTTACTATTGAAACATCATTGTAATAAATGGTTGGGACGGGAGTCTTTTCAAACAAAATCTCTTTGTCATCTGAAACAACCGGCTGAAAATCATCAAAAACAATGAAGTCTCCATCGAACATCTTTTATCCCACGGGAAGGGAAAGGTAAACATCGAGAAAACCTAAGAAGGGTGAAATCATGGTCGAATGACCAAGAGATAAGGGTAAGGGAGTCTATTACGCGAGGGGAAGTAATTAGCACCCCATACGCCCGTAGTACTCTATGGTATCCACTCTTGTTGTCTATCTTATGGGTGTGTTTAATCTACGCTTACTGTTTATTACTGCTACTGAAGGGAGAATGCATGCAAAATAAATGAGAAAAGAATGTAGGGAAAATAAAATTGTGCTTGTTCGGGCCCTACCCCGATGCCTACGTATCCCTTTTAAGGAATCAGAGCAGCCGTAGTTCGGCTTACGTTTTTGTCGGTTTGTATTTTTTTTAATGAACAATATTAATTTCACCTTCTGCCGCAACTCGACCTTTGGAGACTTACGCGTCAGCACAGAAGTGAATTAACATATTCTTTCTAAAAAACGTTTGGGGAAAATGTGCTTGGGCGCACAAAAAGTTTGAATTTGTTTGTGTTTGTAATGAATGGTATTAATTTCGCCTTCTGCCGCAACTCGACCTTTGGAGATTTACGCGTCAGTACAGAAGTGAATTAATTTGTTCTTTTGAAAAGGTTTTGAAAAAAGGGGCCGAAGGCAAAAGGAATTTTGTATTGGTTGATATTTTTGCTTGTAAATAATAGCTAGTTGACCTCAAGGGAGAGATTTTAGCCATTTCTCTACTTATTCGTGAAATAAGTCTTTGAGACTTGAACCATACCAAGGCTTATAATAAGAGAACAATAAGGTCGAGAAGAAACCTGCTTATTGTTTTGCATACTTAACGAAGATATGATTCTCGTCAGTAAATTTTTAGTATTTTGAAGTTTGTAAAAAAGAAGTTTTTATTTTTAAATGCATACGCGAAAAGAAAAAAGAAAAGTCACAGGGAGACTAATCTATTTCTAAACCTAAAGTCATCATACTATTAGACCTAAGTCAAGGGTGAATGACAGGGGAACGTCTACCTAATGTTAGCATGCATGGATTTAGAATAAAGCCTGGTTTCTCATGATTTCTAGAAAAGCAGTAAAGTGTGAAATGAGATAAACAAGAGAAAATACCAAACGGATATCAATTCGTAGTAAAGTGAACAAAACAAAGAAATTTGACGATCTTCGCGAAAGCTTTACCGTTCAAAGAGAAGAGTTAGAAACCAAATGCCCGGAATAAGCGTCGACGCATCATTGATTGTGAAAATAAATCACAATCGAAATTTCAAGCGCATCCAAATATTGCACAATAAACCTGCATGAGATTTCTGACCTCGACAAGCAAAAGGTGAAGTATGAAGCGTCGGAAATGAAAAGATTACTTAACCATAAATCATAAAAGAAAATTCTAACAAAATTCTAAAAGAAGAAAAATCTAGAGAAATTATATTATATTCCTAAAAAAACAATTAACAATTTTTTTTGGTTTTTTATGATTAGTTTTGACTATCAAAAATTATGGAAAGGAAATTAATGAAAAAATAAACTAGAATTCTAGTCAGAAGGGGGTATAGACTGAAATCCAGGAGTATGGCAACTAGAAGGCTTGGGCGCTAGGCCCAGCAAGGTTCTCTCTTTTTTTCGCAGCAAGCCAGCTTCCAAAAGAAAAAATGTTGGGCTTCAGAATGTTATTCAACCCAACCCAGTCAAACCAAAATAGCTTTTTTTTGTTTCTAGCAACAGATTACCAATAAAAATAACGGGCCAATAGTTGCAAATTCGGCCCACCCACCATCTATTGTCCTCCATTTTCAGTATCAATAATTCAATGACTATTTCTTCCACTTCAGATTTACAAAAATAAATAATTTAAAATTGAAACAATAATTTAGAAAAAAATGAAGAGAGTGTAAAAAAATGTTGTTTGGACTAAAGGATAGGGTTAAGAGGAATGACTCTTTATCTTCCTCGATCAGAAGCACGACGGCGTCTTCTCAATGCGCAGTGGCGGCCGATTCTCAATTCTTCTGACCAACCATCCCCAAGAAACCTCTTATCCTTCTTAACCTTCATCTTCGCTCTGTTTCATCTCTATAATGATACGACCCACTCAATTCTTCCTCAATGTACAACGATTTCACGTGCCGCCGTAACCTTCTGTCTCCGCTTCTATTGTTTCTTCCTTTCCGCGATTGCCTCTTTTAAGCGGTTCAACATTCTTCACCTTCATCTATTTTGCTAAACCACATAGTAACCCTAGAAAATTTGATGTCGTAAATTAAGCGGCCATGAAGCTTGTGATCCCACAATTGGAGGAGGGAAAATGCAAAGGGGATCGTAGTCTACATCCTGGTATCAAAAATACGGTGAAACAATGATGAATCACCTACTTCAACGGCGACCGTGAGGAAGAAGGATGAAGCTGTATGCACTCATGTATTTCTTTCTCTTCTTCTTCCCTCTATGTGTGTTTGGATGTGGTTATTGTTGTGGATTCGTGCTGATGATGATGACGTTATTTTATTGTTGTTGCAGAATTGAAAAATCTTGAAAGGATACTGATGCTAATAGATTGAGGATGAAGATTCTGGTTGAGATTCGGTTGCAGAAAGTTGAGAGAAAACCGTTACAGAGGAGTTACAGTTTGAAGGTATGGTCATGAAGATTGAAGTTGCCTTGAGGGAGATGAAGAGAAATTTTCTGTGTGTCTGAGTTGTTATTGTTATGTTGAATGAATATGGTGATGATTGATGCAGAGTGTTACAGAGAAGAGGATTGAGGAACAAAGAAATAGATGAAGATGGAGATGATATGTGAAGAAGTGCATAAGGTTACGGTTATAGAGAGAGTGAATTGATGTTGAAGATGATGAAGATTCAATGAAGATGAAAATTATACAGGGAGTAGAACTTATTTCTGGTGCGTTTTTTTTCTCTCTGATTTTCTGACTTTTCTGCTTCTGCGTTTTGAGCTGTGATCGGTGATAATGATGATATCGCTGTTGATGTTGGATATGCAGATTCAGAGAAGAAGAGGCGATGAAGATTGAAGAGTGGGTGTTGAGGTTTGTTAGAGATTTTCGGTGATTCTTGAAGAATGATCGTGAACTCATAAGGAAATGTGAAGCTGGAGGTTATGGTGACTAGTGTATGAGAGTGTTTTGAAGATTGAGTTTTGAAGTTGCGGTGATGGTGGAATAGAGAATTTCAGGGTTTGTTGGTGAGTTTTTTTTTTATATCTAATTTCCCTGACTTTTCTCTGTGTTATTGAATAACTGTAATGGCCCTCAATTGAATTATGATATCCCCTTATTTGTAGTCTCCGAATTTCTATTATATAGAGGGCCGAGAGTTGGTTATAGATTTTGTTAGCAATTAGGCAGTTAGTAAATCTGTTAGAAAGCAGTTAGAAAAGTTTGTTTGGAATTATGAATTTCTGTTTGGCAGTTGTACTGTTTACAGGTTGTTATGGATCCCTTGGGTGATGTTAATTAGGAAGTTAGAAGTTAGTTAGAGTTTGTTAGGGAGTTATAAATTTTCTAGGAGGAGATTGATGAGCTGTTTAATTAATTTTCTATTTCCCATTTTCTATGCAGGGTTGAACTGTGGATGGGCTAGGGGCTTCCTCCTGAGAATGAGCTTTTTGTTTTACCTGGGAAACTGCAATGAGGTTTTTTGGCCAGACCTGTGAGAGCTTTCTGTGATGATGGTGAACATTGAGTGCATGAAGATGACATGGAGAAGAATGAAGATGAGAGCAGAAGAGAATGTTTCTCTAGAAAACCATTCTGAGATTATTTCAGAATAAGGAAGCACGTGGAAATACTGAACAACTGGGGTGTCCGTCCAACTGCTAGAACTCCTTTTGACTAAAGGACCCCGAAAGCTTTGAATTAAATCTCTCATAGGAACTTGCGAGCACTTCATTATATAAAATCGTGAAGCTGTCTTCTCTTTGCTCTGGGAATACACAATATAACTTCCCAAAAGCATAATATCAATACTATTGACACCTGTTACTTTCTTTACTGAAGAATATCCAATTTGCAAAAATCCATCTTCATTAACATTTACGCATGTTTTGTAGGCTTTTTAATGACTGTTTTCTTTTTGTATGCATGTTTGATTTTATTTGTAACTGCAGAATTTTGAACGGAAGAGGAAGAATCCATTTTTCAGGTTCAGCCTGAGGCTTCTTTGAAGTTGCTGCAAGGGAATTCAAGTCTTGTATTTACAAGTGACTTGTGTACAAGTCTGGTGAGCATGCTTCCTTTTTGTCTTTAGAATAGTAGTTGAATTCTGAACTAGTGCAAAAACAACCCTTTCAACAACAGGTTTTCTCTGTAAATTATGGACTGAATATGGTTCTCTTACGTGTGCGAATGTATGATAATTATGTCATGTTATATCAAGTTTGAACCAGATTCTGATGTTTGATTGGCGTAAGATTTCAGCATGAAGGTGAGACTTTGGCATGGAGGCATTTTGGAATCCAATGCAACATGAAGCTGAGAGAAGAGATAATTTGAACAGGCTTAGGGAAATATGGATTATAGTTATAGTTAGATTCTTGATCAACCTATGTAAGCTAACATCTTTTGTAATCTCTTTGTAGCACATTCTTAAACTGCAAAGTGAATTTGATTTTGCAATTGTAATCCCTTTATAATTTTCTCTTGGACGAACTTTTGTAAAGACCTTGAATAGACTTTGTGCTTGCATTTAGACAAATGAGTGTTGGTAATTGATGGTGAAATGATATTTTCATTTGCAAAGTATTGTAAACACGAACATGTGAGTGAATAAAATATTGAGTTTCAATTGAATGAATTTGGAACTTTGATTGTAGCTTAATTTGCACGTTAATGCATCTTTTATTATTTTTTAATACCAATATAAACTTTGACCTAATTTGAACCGTCTTCAACTCAATGAAACCTCCTAATTCAACTCTTCAGTCCATGTTAACTTGAATTGTAACTTCATCTTTCACAGCATGAACCAAGACCTTGGAAACTCGATCTTTAAATATTTGATTTGGAAAAAAAACTTTTCCGCTTGATAATTTTAACACAAAATCGTACCTTTGGAGCATCCTTAGATGAAGATGAAAGGGACTTGAACCATTGCGAAAAATATTTAAGATAACCGTATCCATGATCTTCATACTAGTGAATGTTAACAAGCTCAAGAAGAAATGCTAGTCTTCTTGAGATACCCCCCGAATCTTATGCCCATTTGACATTTAGAGTGTTCTTCTTGATTTTGTAATATAGAATGAATCTCGAATGAAATTTGAATGCTTATGAATTTTGTTTGAATCAGGAATCTTGAATCCCAATTAAACTTTGTTCTATGTTTGCACCAACGGATCCATATATGACAAAACCCAATAGCTTAAACTTAACTTCGAAATGATCTTTGTATCGAATCCACAATATTTTCTTGCAAAGCACTTAACCAAATGAAATAGCCTTCTCCTGATGATCCACAACACTCGACTATGAGGTGCGCTCCATGAATGTCAGGAAACCAAAACTTCCATATCCATTTGATGACTAATAGCACAACAAAGCAAATCCCTGCCTGTGAATAAATCTTAGACCCCATGCCTTGTTTTGAAGAAAATCAATATGCAAAATCCCATCTTATGATCGAGGACCCCTGAAGAAGAAACCCTATCAGAGTATGATAACTGAATAGAGTTCCGATCTTTGTTCGCACATAGATAGGTGGACCCTAATAGCCTTGTAACTTTGATGAGAAGAAGTCAAAAAATGAATCATGAACCAAAACCCTAATTCCACGGTCTTGTACACCAAGGAGAAACAGAATAATCAACCTTATTCAATCATATACACCTCAAATCAGTCCTAAACCCCAGACTCATAGTCGTTAATTTTTTTGAACCTCAGATGAACTTTTAAATGCAATGCATGCTATGTTAGTGACCTAATGGGATGTATGCGAATGAATGCGAAGGTCTAAGCCAAATAAAATAGATTAGGAGGGAAAATTTTTGGGTGCAACATCATCCATTAGGCGCTGGACACCTGCTTTCAGTAGATGACAACTAGTTGGTAGGGATGAACAAAAGTTGCAACTTTTGTCACACCCCGAAAATAAACTGGCATTCAACAGTTTCTTCTTGACATTCAGGAGAGGAGTAACAAGTTCATCAGCAGCAGTAACAAACATATCATCTTCAACAACGTTAACATCACGGCCATGCTTGGTCATAGGAGCGGTGATAACATTTGGGATTTCAGGAGCATCAAATTCAATTTCTTTTGCTTCGAGAAGGTCTTGCACCTTGTTTTTCAAAGCCCAGCAGTTGTTGGTATCATGGCCTGGACTTTCTGAATGGTAAGCACAGCGAGCATTAGGGTGGTAAATAGGAGAGGCTGTGTTGGGATTCTTCATGGCTTCCTTTAAAGTTACCAGATTAGATCTCAACAAATGTGGCAGGAATTGAGATAATGTCATATTTATCCGTGTAAATTATCTTACTGGTCTTTCTGTTCTAGGCTGGTTGCTCCTTTGTTGAGTAGGTGCAGGCTTAAGGATCATGACGGCCCCTATCGTTGGATGGCGTTCAATTCTGTCTTGATTCCTTTGAGGATACACAATGTCAACTTCTTACTTCCCAATAAATGGTTTTCTGATGATACTAGAGGATGCGTCCTTTTGGATCTTCCCACTCTTAATCCTAGCTTCCACTCTTTCTCCGGTCAAGATTAATTTAGTGAAGCCTGCTGAAGAGCTTCCAATTAGATGATTGAAGAAAGAACCGGATAGGGTACCCAAAAACATATCCATTAGCTCCCTATCAGACAGGGGGGCTGGACTCTTCCTGTTAAGTCCCTCCATTTCTGAGCGTAGTCTTTGAAACCTTCACTTGAAACCATAGCCATACTCTGGAGTTGAGTACGGGTGGGAGCAAGGTCTGCGTTATACTCATATTGCTTGTAGAAGGCAGCGACAAGGTCTTCCCAATTATGGATATTGGCCCTTTTTAGTTGATAGAACCAATCTAGCTGAGTCCCGGATAAACTGTCTTGAAAGAAATGGACCCACAAATCTTTGTCAGCAGTGTGAGGCTGTATCATCCTCACATAAGATCGGAGATGCATCTTGGGACATGAGACCCCGTCTAACTTAGCAAACACTGGTGCCTTTAACTTTGGTGGAATAACAATCCCAGACACCAAACCTAGCTCCTCAAAGTCCAGCCCAGGCACTTTCTGAATCTCCATTGCACTTAGACACTCTTCCAGATGCTTGTATTTGTCGTCAGCCGGGGGATACTTCTCTTCGGGGTAATCTTCTTCTTCTTCCTCTTCAGATTCTGGCTGGGCAGTTACTTCCTTGCCTTTCCCTTCTTGATTATCCTTTTCTCTAGATGATGTTGCAAAGTCTAGGATCCGTCTGGCTGGCCCTGGGAACCTTCTTCCTAGATTCAGAACTCCGGTTGTTTTCTTTTCTTTATTCTTCTTTTCTTCGATCAGCAAAGTTTTCAAATCCTCTTGTCCTTTGGCTAGAGTCAAGAACATCTGTTGAAACTGAGCATTTTTCCCCTGGATGTCTTTTACTGTCTACTAAAGATCCATCTTACTGAAATAAACAGTACAAAGATAAGGAGACCTGTGGTAAGAAACCTGCTTATGTTATGATGAATGAAGATACATATGTAATGATTTCAAGGAATTTAGAGATTTAAATTTGCTTTAGACCAAAAAAGAACACACGTTATATTAATAAATTAAAGTTTGAGTACAACATGCCTCTTTGGGCTTACAATGAAAGAAATGAAAATACAAACAACTAAGACAAAAAAGTTGAGCGCATCCTCTTTGGTGCATGTAGGCATTCAGACTCCGCTCCTCATGAAGCTGCTTGGTAAGTTCCAGAACCTTCTTCTCACTGGCGTAGAATTGGGCCTCAAAAGTGTCTCGCTCCCCCTTAAGTTGTATCCAATCCCTTTGCAATTCTTCGAGAGAGGTGGGAATGTAAGGATGAAGGATAGTGTACAAGACATCTCCTTCCACACCAGGATCTATAATAACTGGGAGAATAGAGGGATAAGGCATCATAAGACTTTGAGCACGAGCTCGTACCCATTTGAGATAAGGCTCAAGAGGGATGGAATTCTTGTGCCCCAGTGTCTTGCTATCAACTCTATGTACCATACCCCAAGCTCGCATGAACCTTTTGCTGTAATACTGAGCATCATTCTCGTAGTCAAAGACGATTCCATGAATAAGTGCATCATGAGGACCATCCCTTCTTGCATATCCAAACTGTCGTAGTGCCAAATAAGGATTGTAACTGATTCCCCCCCCTAATGCCTAAGAAAGGGACATTAGGGAATTCTCCGCAACGATTAATGATGGTAACATTCTCCGAGAATCGAGGACACCAATGAATTCCTGAATATGTAAGAGTCATCAGCCTTTGAGACCATCTCAAACCATGTCCATTCTTCAAGATGGATTGGGGTAGGTGTGAAATAAACCACCTAGCCAAAAGAGGTGTGCAACACAGAAGGGTTTCTCTCCTCTTTATAGTGATAGTATGCAACGAATATAGGATATCTCCAAGCAGAGTAGGTACCGTATTACGTGACAGGAAAATATTAACCGCATTCACATCTATGAGCTTGTCCGAATCAGGAAATAGTACCAACCCATAGATGAGAAGGGATAACAACTCTCCAAAAGCTTCTAAGTCTAAGGTATCCCAAAAATGATGAGCTTTCTCGAACAAGAACTTAGTCAAAAAAACCCTTGACACCTATCCTGGTTTCCTAATTTGCTACTACGTCAGACCGTTGTAAGGATAGAGCTTTGGCAATATCTTCAGGTTTATGGTCTCTTTCCATACCATTGAAAGGTACCTCATTAAGGATAGGCACTCCCAACAACAAAGAAAACTCCTCCATAGTAGGCACTAACTGGTAATCCGGAAAAGTGAAGCAGTGATGTAAAGGGTCAAAGAACTGAAAGAACACTTTTAACATTTCCTCATCAGGGTTTGTGGTGACCAATCTGAGAAGTCGACCATGTCTTTCAGTGAACGGAGAGCTTTCAGGAACCCTTGACACCAAATTCTTAAGCTGAGGAGGTACTTTTACCAGACTGACTTGGATAGTGAATCTGCGGGCGAGAGCCATGTCCTACAAAACAAGACAAAAATAAACCCTAAGAATCCTTGAAATGGTTAGTATGACATGTTATGTTATGTTATGATGCCATGATTATGCTCAGATATAGCAGATATAACAAGCACAGGAAAATCACACAGAGACCTTAGGTTTATGGCTTGCATGGATTTTAAGGTGATAACCACTTGAAGTTGGGTTGGTTCAACCTGTCCTAAATATAGTAACCGGGTTCTAAGGGATCTCAATATCACCGGTATTTCCCCCAAATCTAGTTCCGATAGACAATTGACTTGCCACCAAACAAAACTCAAGGGTCAAACCTCAATGAGTGTAGCATCGAGTATCAACCGACTTTGGGTTTACACC